TGCCTGTAATTCCGGCTACTCAAAAGGCTGAGGCAGAAGGATCGCCGGAGCCCAGCAGGTTGAGGCTGCGCGGCCACTGCACTCCAGTCTGGGCGACAGAGTGAGACTCCAACTCAAAAAATAAAGATCAATACATTCAGAAGCTCAAATTAATTCTGAACCTTACAAACTATTTTGGGATCAGAGTCGAATAAGGCAAAAAGGGAAGGTCTGTGATACAAGGGTTCTCTATGCATGCACTGTGTGGGATAATGGAGTTATCTAAAAATTGACCCTACTGACTTACGCAAAGTCTCCTCCAAGTGTACAAATCAGTTGTGCTCCAAACACACTCCATAAAGAAAGGCCTCCATATTCCCATGTCACTATAACAACACTGTTGTCAGGAGACCATCTGATCAACTTAACAGCGCCTGTTTTGTTCCAAATGTCTGTTAACAAGTAGTGAGAAGAGTTAAACATCAGTGATTGCTTCAGGAATACTCGGTGTTTTCTATAGTCTATTTCTTCAAATCTCAGTGAGCAGAAAGGCATGACTGATTCAAAGACCGAGATGAACCCTGCTCATGTGGGACTACTTAAAATGAGTGAAGCCGTTAGTTCGGCCTGATCTACTCAGTGCATAGGGGATTTATAAGAAGGAAAAGCTGTTTCTGGCCACTACTAGTTTGACTAATTTAAAACTTGCAAGCCTAAGATAAAAGTCTCTGACTTTGCACAAATCAGTTTCTGTAAAATGGGGATAAGGTTACTGCAAAAACTGTCCTTAGAGAAAAATATGTGTAGGCTTTTAAAAAAAAGGTCACACTGTAAGAATGAGAAAAACTTAAGAAGCAAATATCTATTTCTGGCAGTATAGCGAATGATTCCCTGAATGAAACAACTAAGATGTTGAATAGAATTCCTAAATGCCTCAGAACAACCAAAAATATTAGGACAAAGTGTTTTCTTTGAATTTTTCTGCCAAATCCTGAAGACCTTGACTTTCACCTCTGGTGACTCATGGCATGTTAAAGACAAGTAATAAAGCTCAGAGCTTCTCCAAAGTAAGACACCCATATAAAGCTGGGACTACGAAGGGCGACTTCCATGGTATTAAGAGAGAATGAGGAAAAAACAAATAAACAACTCTGCCCTAGAAGAGAAGAAGAAATAGCAAGGAATACTTTTGTGTTTCACCAGTGGTACTGAATGGAAAATAAAACTCCCCTGATAATCTGCAGCCACAAGTCAGCCTTCACCCTGATTTGTAATTTGTGCAATTAGTGAAGTTCAAAAAATCTCAGAGAACACAATGTGCAGGGTTCCAGACTGATGTAGTACTCCCAGGTAACCAGCAGAAACAAACACAGATTCTCTTTGAAAAAACCAGAATGCAATCCAGCTCTCAAAGCATTCATAAAATAATATGTTTCAAGGAAAATAATCAGCTCTTAGGAAGAAAAAAAAATCCGAAAATACAGAACCAAATGAGAGAGAACCCAGAGAAGCAAGACATAGCAGAAACAGACCCAGGCTTCAGATACTGGGACTAACAGACACCAGAATGTAAAACAACCATTCTATTTATAGCTAAAGAAATAGAAGACTGAAATTAGGGGCAGGATACATACATACTGAAAAAGGAGCTAAATAACTCTTTTAGAAATAAAAAAACACAACTGAAATTTAAAACTCAGTGGACAGACTAAGCAACGTATTAGACATAGCTGGAGAGGATTTAGTAAGCCCAGACAGATATTTTCTAGGATATAGTCCAGAGAAACAAGAAATTAAAACTCTTAAAAGTCAGGCTAAGCACCATGGAAAAGGTTGGGTGGCTCATGAATGAAATCCCAGCATTTCTAGAGGCTGCGGTGGGAGGACTGCTTGAGGCCAGGAGTTTGAGACCAGCCTCGGCAACACAGTGTGACCCCATCTCTACCAAAAGAAAGAAATGTAGAAGAAAGTAAAACATATATCTAATTAGAGTTCCAGAAAAACAGATTAGAGGAGAAGCAATATTCAGAGAGAGAGAGAGAGAGAATGGTTGGTTGAGAATTTCCTACAACAGTTGATAGATAAAAATCATATCCAGCAAGCTTGAGTCTCAAGCAGGATTAAAAAACAAAAGGACAAAAACTAAATTCTTTGTGTTCCACTTCACTGTGAAACTGCAGCATACCAAAGACAAAGAAAAGATCTGAAAAGTAAGCTGTAGAGAAAAGACTAATTTCCTAAAAAAGATAATACAAACTGGTGACTTCCTAGTAGCAGCAATCAAAATCCAGTGACACTGAACAACTACTTTAGTGCACAGAGAGAAAATACTTGTCAACCCAAAACCAAGTACCAAGTTAAACTATAATTAAATCACATGGGCAAAATAAAAACATTTTAGAATCTCCTTCCCCAAAATAGCATTTGCCATCAAAAAACTTCACTGAAAAAATCCCAAGGGATGTAAGAAATGGTAGGCAAAAAATACTGGTATCTATGCGGGCAATGCAAAGTCAACATGAACAGTTAAATATTCTAATGTTTAACTGAAATTTTAACACAAGATACCCCAGCTTCTTCCTAGAGATTAGTAAGGTTTTTATTACTAGATTAGATTTACACGAGCCCTCTCAACTTCCCTCTGACATGTTTTTCAACCACAAACATTAGAGAAATTTGTAGACTCTTATGGCAATTGTTCTTAAATTGGGAGCACATCTAAATCTAGGGGGGGAAAATGGAACAGTCTCAGTTTAGAAAAAATCCTCAATTGCTAATGTAGATATGGGACATAGTGCATTATTAAATTCATGGCTTACAGTAATGAGACTGCATTGCTGTTGGAAACAATCCTGAAATGGTCACTGGTCTTAGCTTAAAAAACAGATGGCGTCATTCACCATGTCTGTACTATGTGCCTTTCACTAAGCTGAACTAGCCTAGGGTAAAGACATGGGTAATACCCTACACCCAAGGCTTCCAGCCTACAAGGAGAAAAAAGACCTGTAAGCTAATAAGTTCAGTAAACCATGACAGATGCTGAAACAGACGTCATACGCAGGGTGCAATGGAGCACAGGAGGAAATGGTATTCTAACCAGCTCATGAGAAAATATTTCACTTGAGCTGGGTCATCTACTTTCATGTAGAAATATAGGACACTTCAGGGAGAGAGAATGGTGAGACTCAAATATCAGACAGAATGGAGACAGTTAAGAATCTGCAGGTCGTTTGGTCAAGTTAAGTAAAACTGATGAAGACTACAGCTCCTAGCATCTGTGCCAAGGTATCTCAGAGAACCACAGAGAGAGAACTTATACCATGAGATAACTTTCAAGAGAAACAGTGATCCATAGCAACTGTTGGGCACAATGTAAACTAGTTGCTGGTAGCTCACAGTTGCAATTCATTTAAATCTTTGTGAAGATGGATACTCAGGCGCTGCTGTGACAGAAAGCAAGTGTTCTGTGAAAATTAGCGTGGAACAGCAAAATGTGGGTGGTTGCACCCAGCTTGACCTTAAGGTTTGAAAACTGCACTGTCTAGTAAGGCACACACATGCCATTCGTAAAAAACTGTTTAAGAATTCAATAAAACTATTATTTTATTTCCATTTATGTTTTTCCTTTTCTTTCTGGAAATGCTACTAGGATGCTAACACATAGATACTTATTAAGTTGTTCAGTCTAACTCCTAAATCAAGAAAACTTTTGGCATTTCTTTTAGCCTAGGGGTACTATAAAATTCATAGAGATACTGAGAAGGGAGTGAACCAAGAAGCAATGACAGAGAGATTTAGTAGAAGGCCTTGTATGCCACATATGCAGACACAGCTGGATGTTTAACCCAACACCTATTCCTTCTCACTTCTGTCAACAGCTTAGAAAAGCTAACAAATAAATACTTTCCAAGTTTTCCTTGAACCCTAAGGGTGTCACACAACATAATTAGGGCCAAGTAGATGCAAGTGGAAGACAGAGCAGCTAGGAGGTGTTTCTGGGAAAGGTTTTGCTTTCCTGATTAAAAAACAGATATGCCCTGCTTTCTCCTTCTTTATTCAATTGCATAAATAATGATTGAAACTTAGTAGCTATGTTGTGACCATGGAGGTTAGATGAAGGTCAACAGCAGCATCTCACCTTTGAATATCTTGCTATTTGAAAAGATAAACCCTATTTAAGTCACAGTAAGTCAGATTTTCTGTTAGTTTCGGTCGGAAGTACTGTTGATGATAGAGTTTAGCCTCAGTCCTGTGGATAGTGGGGATTCACTAACGGGGTCAGAAAGAGATTTCAGTTTTGCCTATTGCTGTATATCCAGCATTTAGAACAGCATCTAGCATATAGTAGGTACTCAGTATTTGTTGAATGAATAAGCTGCATTGGAAGTAATAAAGTGAGAGGCAATGAAGTCAGGTAAGAAGCTACACCAAAGTCCAGACATGGAATGCAGGGGCTAAAACTAAGTGAGAATAAAAAGGACTAAAGGGAATTGAAAGTAAAAAATCTTGGATGTGGAATTAAGATGGCCGGTGAGAAGCAGGTAGAGTGTGTTCCTCCAATGGAGTAAATGGAAATAGAGTTTCCTCAGCATCCAGAGAAAAACAGGTCCAGCAGCACACTCCATGACTCATCAAAGAAGTGATAATAACCACACAGTGCAAAGAGAAAAATCGACACATCTGGGCTGGAACTACCCAGACTCTCTCCAGGATCATGGACAGCCTCTGGACACAGTGGGGAAGGTGCCCAGATCAGGACCTTCACAGCTAGCAACTAAGAAACTTACCACATCAGGGCTATATGTAGCAAATGGTGCTTAGGTCAGCCCCTTGCCAACCTCAAATAAGAAAAAATAGTCCACCCAAATAAGAAGGAACCAGAAAAATAATTCTGACCACATGAAAAAAGAGAGTTCTCCAACATCCCAAAAGACCACACTAACTCTTCAGCAGTGAACCCTAACCAGAATGAAATCTTTGAAATTCCAGAGACAGAATTCAAAAGGTTAATCATAAAATTGCTCAGGTAGAGTCAGAAGAAAGTTGAAAACCAATATAAAGAAACTAAACACTATAGTTAGGACATGAATGAAAATTATCCAAAGAAACAGAAACCTAAAAAAAAAAAAACCAAAAAAACAAAAAAACACTGAAATTCTGGAACTCAAAGAATAACTTAGAAAAGTACAAAATGAAGTGGAAAGTTTTAACAGTAGACCGGAATAAGCAGAAGGGATCTCAGAATTTGAAGACAAGGCTTTTAGATTAACTCATTCAGACAACAATAAAGAAAACAGAATCAAGAAAATAGAAGAAAGTCTTCAAGAAATGTGAGATTATGATTATGTAAAACATCCAAACCTAAGAGTCATAGATACCCCTGAGAAAGAGAAGCGAGCAACAGGTTTAGAAAACCTATTACGGGAATAACTGAGGAAAACTTCTCTGGCCTTGCTAGAGATTTAGACATCCAGGTACAAGAAGCCCAAAGAGCCTTCAGAAGATTCACTGTAAAATGTCAACCCCAAGATCTACAATCATCAGGTGATACAAAGTTAATGTGAAGGAAAGACTTTTAAGTGCAGTGAGACAAAAGCATCAAATAACTTACAAAGGTAAACCCACCAGACGAATGGCAGGTTTCTCAGAAGAAACTCTACTAGCCAGGAGGGCTTAGGGCCCCATCTTCAGTCTCCTCAAATGGAATAACACTCAGCTAAGAATTCTGCATCCCAGGAAATTAAATTTAATCAATGAAGGAGAAATAAAGTCTTTCTCAGACAAGCTAAGGGAATTTGTCACCATTAGACCAGCTCTACAAGAAATAAAGGAGTTCTATATACTAAAAGAAAAAGTTAAAATACACTAGCAAAAAACATTGGAAATCATAAAGCTCATAAAGCCATCAGGACTATAGAATGCCAATATAATAAAGGAAAAAAAAAAAGCAACCAGGTAAAACCAGCATGATGAAAGAGTACCTTACATATCATTGTTAACCCTGAGTGTAATAGTCTTTAATGCCTCACTAAAAAGACACAGACTGGCAGAACAGATAAAAAAAAAAACAAAAAAACAATCCAAATATCTGCTGCCTTCAAGGAACCCACTTAAGTCCACAGCAGGACTCCTTACAGACTCAAAGTAAAGGAGTAGGGAGAATACTCCACACAAATGGAAATAAAAAATGAGCAGGAGTAGCCATTCTCATGTCAGATAAAACAGACTTTAACAGTAAAAAGACAAAGATGGTTATTATCTAATGATAAAGGGATCAATCCAATGAGAAGACATAACAATTTTAAATATATGTGCATCTAACACCAGAGCTCCCACCTTTACAAAACAAAATCTACCAAACCTAAAAAAAGAGACAGACAGCAGTCCAATAACGGTGTGAGACTTCAACACACCACTAACAGCAACAGACAGCTCATCCAGGCAGAAAGTCAACAAAGAAACATTGGAGTTAAACGGGACCCTAGAGCAAATGGGCCTAATGGACACCTATAGAACGTTCTACTTCAAAGCTACAGAATATACATTTTTCTCATCAGCACATTATATAGCTTAAAGCCTACATTAGTGAGACTGAAAGATCCGCATATTGACAACCTAACATCACACCTCAAGGAACTAGAAAAAACATGAACCAAACTAAATCCAAAGCTAGCAGAAGAAAAGAAATAATGAAGATAAGAGCAGAACAACATGAAATTGAAATTAAAAAAATACAAAGGATCAATGGAACAAAAATCTGGCTCTTTGAAAAGATAAACAAAATTGACAGACCACTAGCTAAGATTAATTAAGAAATGAAGAGAAAAGATTCAAATGAGCTCAATCACACATGAAAATAGGGATAGAAATACAAAAAGATCATCTGAAATTATTATGAACACCCCTGACGAGAGAATTAGACAATCTAGAGGAATCTACAAAGAACTCAAACAAATCAGCCACCCTGAACAGACCATTAAATAGTAATGAGATTGAAACAGTAATTAAAAGTCTCCCAACAACAAAAAAATCCAGTACTTGACAGAGTCACAGTCAAATTTTACTAGACTTTCAAAAAAGAACTGGCACCAATTATACTAACACTATTCCATAAGATTGAAGAAGAGGGAATTCTCCCTAACTCATTCTATGAAGCCAGTATCACCCTGATACAAAAGCCAAGAAAAAACACAACAAGAAAACTACAGACCAATATCCCTGATGAACACAGCTGGGAAAATTCTCAACAAAACATTAGCAAACTGAATCTACAGCACATAAAAAAAAAATCCACCATAATCAAGGACACAAACAAATGGAAAAACATCCTATGCTCATGGATTGGAAGAATCCACATTGCTAAAATGACCATATTACCCAAAGTACTCTACAGATTCAACACAATCCCTATCAAACTACCATAATTTTCCACAGAATTAGAAAAACAATTCTAAAATTCAAATGGAACCAACAAAGAGCCAGAATAGTCAAAGTCATCCTAAGCAAAAAGAACAAAGCAGGAGGCATCATCATATTAGCTGACTTCAAATCATACTACAAGGCTGTAGGAACCAAAACAGCATGGTACTGGTACAGGAGAATCTTGCAGCAAGGGAACAGAATAGAGAATTCAGAAGTAAACCCAATTACCTATAACCAACTGATCTTTGAGTAAACAGACAAAAACAGACAGCGAGGAAAGGCTATTGTAATCAACAAGTGGTGTTGCGACAACTGGACAGCCATATGCAGAACAATGAAACTTGATCTTTTTCTCAGCTGATACAAAAGTGTACTCAAGATGGATTAGAGACTTAAATGTCAGACCTGAAACTCTAAACATCCTACAAGAAAACCTAGGAACTACCCTTCTGGACATTGGCCTAGGCAAAGAATTTATGGCTAAAACCCCAAAGTGGATGCAACAAGCAAAAATAAGTGAGACTTAATTAAACTAAAGTGCTTCTGCACAGTAAAAGAAGTAATCAACAAGCAAATAGGCAACCTACAGAATGGGAGAAGATATTTGCAAACTATACATCTGACAAAGGACTAATATCCAGAATCTAAAAGAACTCAAACAAATCAGCAAGAAAAAAGTAAATGACTCCATTAAAAAGTGGGCAAATGACATGAACAGACATCTCTTGAAGATATACAAATGAATGACATACAAAAAAATGATCAACAGCACGAGTCATGAAGGAAATGCAAATTAAAACCACAATGAGATACCACCTTACACCTGTCAGAATGGCCATTATTAAAATAAATAAATAAAAAATAGATGCTAGTGCAGATGCAGTGAAAAGGGAGGGTGCGAACACTATTGGTGGGAATGTAAATTAGTACAACTGCTATGGAAACTGGTAAGGAGATTTCTCAGAAAACTAAAAGTAGACCCACTATTTGACCCAGCAATCCCACTACTAGGTATCCAGCCAAAGGAAAAGGAGTTGTCAAATAATATGTGGACTCAACCTAAATGCCCTTTAACTGATCAGTGGATAATGAAAATGTGCCTTATGTACATCATGGAATACTGTTCAGCCATCAAAAAGAATGAAATAATGCAGCAACTCAGATGGAATTAGAGAACACCACCCATTCTAAGTAATAAGGAAGAGAAAACCAAACACTGCGAGTTCTCACTGGTAAGTGGGCTCTACAAAGGCACAAAGAATGATATAATGGACACTGGAGATTCAGGAGTGGGAGATGGTGAGGGGAGAAGAGATAGAAGGATGAAAACTCACCTATAGGGTACAGTGTGCACAGGTGGGGGTAGTGGGTAAACTTAAAGCCCACACTTCTTTGCCACTATGCAGCGCAACCAAATAACTAAAAACTATTTGTGCCCCCTAAAGCTATTGATATAAAGAGAAAAAAAAAAAGGACTAAAAGAATTAAAAAAGATATCTGAAGCCTTTCTAGTTACATAGAAATCCTTTGGTCATACAGAATATTGTGACATGTTCTACAATATTTGACAGACAGCATGTACTGTTTAATTTAAAATCAGTATCTGTTACACATAGCATTCATTAGTAGTACATCAAAAATACTTTTTAAAAAACTCACCAGGGTACTGCTTTGCTGTTAGTTCTAATTTATGAGACAGCAGCATGGCTCCAGTGGTATTATCTATTGTATACACCTGTACAGAGCCACTGTGAAAACAAAAAAAAAATTAGTGAAAAAAAACAAACACAAATAGAAAAAGTATTATTATGGATACTTTTATGTTCCCATCTAGCGATTCCATGTCTAGGTATGACCCTGAAATTTTTCTTTTTTTGAGTTGGAGTCTCACTTTGTCACCTAGGCTGGAGTGCAGTGGCATGCTCATGGATACTGCAGCCTCAATCTGCTGGGACCAGGTGATCCTTCCACCTCAGCTTTCTAAGCAGCTGGAGCTACAGGTGCCTGCCACCATGCCTGGTTTGTCTGTCTGTCTCTGCTTCTATTCATTTATTGTAGGGACGAGGTCTCACCAAGTTGCCTAGGCTGGCCTCAAACTAAGTGCTGAGATTACCCGGTTTCCAGAAATTCTTATCTAATGTTTACTAGAAGATGTGCACTGTACTATTGTGTATAACTGGAAACCAAATGGAAATAACCTGAATGTACAGCAACATGAGAGAAGAAAAATAAACGGTGGCACAGTCACAGAGTACTGACATACATAGCACCGAAAATGAACGACCTCCAGCCACATGCATTAATGTGGCTAGGAAACACAGGCAACGGAACTCTTAAACAGCACGAGCTTGAGTGGCACAGGTGCACGAATGCCTCTGTCCCCCGAGACAGCCAGACCCGCTTTCTCTTCCTCCGCTTCAGCCCCCTCAACACAAAGACAATGAAGACCCTCATGATGATCCACTTCGTGAATAAACACACCTTCCTTGAGATTTCTGAAGCTTACATTATTTTAAGAATACAGTGCATGGCAAAGATGTAACATAAACTATGTGTTAATAGGCTGTTTATGTTATAACAGCAGGCTATTAGTAGTTAAAAGTTTACTGAAAGTTAAAAGTTATACATGAATTTTCAGCTGCATGGAGAAAGGATCAGTGCCCCAACCCCTGGGTTGTTCGAGGGTCAACTGTATATATGAGAGGGGACTCAAAGAAAACCTGGAATTTATTTATAAAAAATTGTATATTTATTCTTACATGTTTAAACTTCAGTCCCCTTCAAAGGATTCTGCTTGATGCAATACACCTAATTAAGATGCTTTTTCCACTGCTCAAAACAGTTTTTGAACTTGTCAATGCTGTTGCCTATAGTGCTTCTACTGTTTTTTGTTTCACCTCTTCCACAGTGGCAAAACGTTTTCCTCTGAGGTCTTTTTTCATCCAGAGACACACAAAAAAAGTTGCTCAGGGCGAGATAGAGTGAGGAGGGAGGGTGGGGCATGGAGGTCTTGCAGCTTTGGGTCAAAAACTGCTGAATACTTAGTGTGGTGTGACCACGTGCACTCATAAATCATCTATCATGAAGTGGGTAAACATGTTGGCAGGATCGTGGGGGAAAAAATTTAGTGAAGCCAAATGCAGCCTCTCACAACATTAGCTGGTACACTGATGCCATCGGGTTCCTAGAATACTTATTTAGCAGGGGAAGCCTGTAGTCCAAAAGGTCTGCCCTCAAAAAAAGATAATTCCATTCTTTTAGGATACCCTCATATATTTGCTCTCTCTCTGTATATATACACACATATCAATACAGCAAATGTAGATATAAATATATATTTGATATATAGTAGCTAATTTATTTGTAGCAAAAATACAATAGAACTAATGTACACAAATGTCAGATTAATGATTCCCAAGGTGGAAAAAGGGGAATATCAAAGAGGAGGAGTAAACAAGGGGTTTCATCAGCATTGGTAATTGGCTATTTCTTAAGGTGGATAGTAATTCAGAAATATTTTATTATTTTAAAAAACATATACATATTACATGCAGCTCTTTTGTGCATATGGTATATGGAATTACTTTAAGAAATCTTTACAGTGGTCAAACTTATGAAGGGTCTGGAACCAAAACTAAAACCTCTATATTACTTCTACGCTAGATTTAAAAACTGAACTACAATAATCATAGAAAAATCCCATTTTTGCTTTTTGCACTATTTTCAGTTCGAAAACGTACACCTATTCAGTATCTGACAATGAGACACACACTTGAGTTATATTACTTAAGCATTGTAACGAAAAAAGAAACAAATGTTGTTCTTAAAAATACTTTCGACTCCAAAGTGGCTTTTACACACAGTAGGACAACAGTGGTTTAGGATCATAAGAATATTCTGGCACTTCTGCCTGCTTCTTTGTGGCAGGATTCAGAAGGTTTCCCCGTGGTAGCTTTGATCCATTCCGGCCAGGTCCTACCTCTTCTCAAGGATAAGGACTAGGACTAAGTAAAATACTTAGTAGTAAGTAGACAACCTGAAGTTGCCCCACAGCTCACTGATGCTGTTTTTAATTCCTTTTTTTCCCTGTGTTGCATATTGGATGATTTCTCTGACGTTAATTAAGCTCATTAATCTTTTCTTCTGTAATGTCTAATCTTCGTCAATCCCATTCAGTGTATTTTTCACCCTGGACATCATAGTTTTCATCTCTGGAAGTCTAATTTGGGTCTTTTTTTTTTAGTATCAATCTTCCACGTTCCAGTTAAATATCCACAAGGGACCCTTCTCTAGCACTCCTGGGGAGTTCTCCCTTTTGTGTTTCTACTATGAACTCTAGCTATATGGGTCTCCCCAGTTCTCATTTCATGTACTCAACTGGGGTTCTCTCCCCCCATCCCTGTGTTGTACCCTGGAAACACTCTTCCAAACAATAAAAGCTGGGACAGTTAGAAAGCTCATTTTGCTTCCTATCTTTCAGGGATCACTGTTCTTTGTCGCCTTAAGTTCACGTCTTGAATTCAAAACAGCTGTTTCATATTTTTGTCCATTTCTTGGCTGTATCGGGTGGAAGGGAAATGTTATTACACCTTAGTCAAAGCCAAATAAATGCCTGGAAAAGATTTCTTTCCGACTACCTGCCCAAACAGATTACCTCTTGCTGAGAGACAGCACTGAGTGGCTAGCAGGCATCATGTGGCTTTGCTTTTGTATCTGACAACTGTCAACTGCTACCACAGGACTGCTGAGCTCTCACGAGTCAGAGGGGAGTCTAAATATTTCTAATGTAAAAAGCAGATGCTAAGGTTCTACTTATAAAAGACTGACGACCTTTTAAGTGTCCTATAGTACCTACAGTTTTGAATTACTTTCTCATCAGCCCATTAGAAGAGAAGAATACATTTTCATTAAAAACACACTAATTCCAAAGCAAAAATCATCTCTATAATAGAGATATGGCTGTTGTCATCATTGGTGATCCAGGTTAGCATCATTAATACTGGGACAACTTGACATCATTGTTAAATAATGCCATGGGATGTACACATCATCACCTATGACAAAAACGTGTCACCAGAATCTAACCAAACCTTTAAATATAATGGTAAGAGTCAATAGTGGTCTTCTACAAACTGGAATCCTAAAAGGAAGTTGGCTTCTTATAGAACTCTAAGGACACCAGCTACAGCCTAGAGTTCAAGGCCACCAGTCCTGGCAAGTGCAGGCAGATCAGGGCTTAGAAGCCATTGGTTTGCTACGTCACATGGCTACAATCATAAAACTTTAATCCTAACCTATGATCATGCCAGAAGAGGTGCTTATAGTCTCACAACTGATGAAGACCGAGGTGACTGAAAGGTTATAAGACAAGATTCTACCTTCATTACCCTGGGGAAAGGACCAGTACTTCCCAGTCACGTAGCTTATAAGCACAGATAGCCTATGACTCAAGTGCCTCTTCTGGATTCTAACATCTGGCCTTATTAGAAGCCTGGGGGCTAACTCTGAGTGCAGGTATTGTGGGACCTGCACACTTGCCACTGCTCTTGTCTCTGTGAGATTCTTCTAAGTGTTTTCCCACGTCTGACAAGTAGGTTTTCTAGTCATTTGACTATATTTACTTAACAAGAAGCAGCTTTCAGGTTAGTAATTCTACGCATCAGAGAAACTAAATGCCATCATGAGCAAAAATTGATGTAAATCTAGAACGTAGAACATTCTATGAAGAACTGAGCTGAACAAAAAAAGCCAGTACCATAAAAAAATTTTTTTAAAGAGGTGTTATGATCTGTTGCAGGTAAAAGGTGACTAACAAGAAATAATAATCAAATATAATTAGTGAATCTTGATTGAGTCTGACTGGAACAAAGGAATTATGAAATAAATTTTGGTGACAATTGGGTTAATTTGAATATGAATTGGGGATTATTCTATTAGAGATTTATCATTAATTATCTCATATGTGATAAGGATATTGGGTTTATATAAGATAATGTATCTTTTTTTTGAAAACAAAGAAAGAGTTTTCAAATATCCACCAACAGCAAAGTGAATAAATTATGGCATGTTCATACACTGGAACACCATTAACAAATTAATTAAAAATGATTACAGCTATTGGCAAATAACATGGATGAACCTTATAATATTGACTGAAAGACGACTGACCCAAAACATAAAATATGATTCCATTCAAAATCAGGCAAACCTGAATTATGCTCTTCAGGAATATATACATAGTGATAAAACTATTTTTAAAAATCATCACAAAGATAGAAAACTGGCTACCAAGTAAGTCAAGGGAACAAGAGTTGTGATTAGGAAGTAGCAAGAAGAGAGCTTATGACAAACTGGCAATGTTCTATTTCTTAACCTAGTTGTGTACAGTCAGGTGTTTGTGTTACAATTATTTTAAAACTGTGAATATTTGTAATATATACTATTTTACATGCATGTTTTTATTTTATCATATGAAAGTTTAAAAGGATATTATAAACTTTTTGCCAATAAATTTGACAATGAGCCAGGCTCAGTGGCTCAGCCTGTAATCCCGTGCCTTTGGGAGGCTGAGGTGAGTGGATTGCCTAAGCCTGCGGGTTCAAGACCCGCCTGGGCAACTTGGCGAGACCTCATCTCTATAATAGATCAAAATGAGCCGGGTGTGGTAGCATGCGCCTATAGTTCCAGCTACTTGGAAGGCTGAGGCAGAAGGATCGCCGGAGCCCAGCAGGTCGAGGCGACAGTGGCCGGGAGTGGCCACTGCACTCCAGTCTGGGTGACAGAGTGAGACTCCAACTCAAAAAAAAAAAAAAAAATTGACAATGTATATGAAAAACTCCTAACAAAACACAACTTGCCGAAATGACTTAAGAAGAGATAGAAAATCAAAATCCTCTGAGATCTGTTTTTTAAAAATGAATTCAGTCAGCAGTTCAAAAAATTCCCAAGAAGAAAATCCTAGGTCCAGATGACTTCACTGACAAATCACACTATACATTGCAAGATGACCAGAAAAGAAAGTGAAGAACCCTCTCTCAACCCATTTTATGAGACAAATTAACCAGGAGGATAGGAGAAAGGGAAATTGTAGGAGAAACTCAGCAATATAGATTTAAAATTCTAAACAAAATATGACCTAACCAAATCAACGAATATAAAGAAAACATGCTCTTTCTTTCTTGTACTAAGTTAAACTTACTTGTATTTCTAGTTTTAACTGCTCAGTGAGAAGCAGTGTATGAAAACAAGTCAACATTGAGGATGAGGATACCCGGCGTTACAAAGATTATTGAGAGTGTGATGAAGGTGCTTTCTAATATGGTGATGCTTAACTTGGGCGGAGATGAGGTGACTGGAGACTATGCAAACCAAGTCTCATTTTGAGTGCAAAATGGAATTTTTATAGAAAGAGTTTTGAAAACTGAGAAGCACTATACACATTGCAAGGCATTACTATAACTAATATAATCTTTTTATTTGTGCTAAACTACAAGCTCAACAAAGTCAGGCATCTTTGCCTGTTTTCCTTGCCTATATTCCAAATGCTTAGAACTGTGCCTGGTTCAAGCTAGATGCACAGACATTTGCTGAACAAATAATTTAATTTTTAAAGTCAGGGTCTCACTCTGCTGCTCAGGCTGAAGGGCAGGGGCACGATCATGGCTCACCACAGCCTCAGAGTCCTGGGCTGAAGTGACCCTCCTACCTCAGGCTCCAAAGAAACTGGGACTATAGGCATGCACCACCATGCCTGGCAATTTTTGAAATTTTCTGTAGAGATGAGGTCTTACTATGTTGCTCAGGCTGGAATTTTATTCAATTTTGTATTGAAAATCTCCATTATATGAATCAAAGCAAGAAGCTGAAGCTGATTAAACAGTAAAACAAAACAAAACAAAACAAAAAACCCTCTAAATTTTAGCTGATTTATTCTTTTTAACTTGTAACCCAATTTTCTACCATTGAAGAGAAACTCACTTTTATAAATTAAAACGTTCATCTTCCAAAATCTGCCTTTTGCTTTTGTTCACTTCAATCTAATAAAACACTTCAAGATGACATATTAAGGTTGGTTCATAAACTACAACAGGCATGATGCAGCTTATGTTTAAAAAAGACATTATTTTTGGCAATGCCTCTGAAACATCCAAAAGTCTGTATCAATTACCTGGCACAACCAAACGCCATTAGTCGATACTTGTTATTTACTGCTACACATGTTCCGTCAACAACATCTTGTGGCCAAACTCCATGAAGCTGCTATTATAATAGAGAAAAAAAGATAAGGCTTAAAAAGAATTCCCTCAAGTTTACAGTCATCAATACGGTTCTTCAATAAATATATTACTTCATAAGGCTTCATTTGGTGTCATATGCATTGGGAAACATTCCATCAGAACTGCTATCTGAATATTCTCCCTTAAAACCTCAAGCTTCTCATCAATTGGTTCAATAAATACTGAGCTCAGTCTAGTGCAAGTTAATCTATTTATAAAATAATAAAAAATAAAATGTGGCCTCCAAATCATATTAGATAAATATGAACTTGTTAGAACACGAACCTCTGACAGCATAAATACCACACCTGCTCACTGGTGTTATTCTCATCACCTAGCACATAGTGTTTACCTTCCTAGTCAGTGGGAAGTAGTACATTTGATTTGGCTTATCTTTTAGAAGCAAGTCATGGTTTGTCAATTGTTTACCATTCTCTACAATTCACTTGCTTTATAATGTATTTATTGAGCAATCATTACTGCCTTCATTCCCTTAAATGATTATCTGATCTCATCAAGCTTCAGTTTTCCTATCTGCAAATTACTTAGGGGTGTTACAATTAAATGAGAGTACATGTAAACTATTTAGTACAATGTTTGCCCTTCAACAAGTTAAACATTCAATAAATGAATGACATTATTAGTAAGCTTATATGCTATTCAATTCCACATATAAAGAACAGATTCAGCTCAGCTGTTTGTTCTTATAAGTTAAATCACAACAATTTCAAATTATAAATTCCAAGGCAAAGATCATGATCATTAATTTGGGAAGCACAAAAAAAGATAGCAGTGTGTGTGTGTGTGTGTGTGTGTGTGTGTGTGTGTGTGACTTTATTTTTGTATGCTCCCCACAGTAAACATTAGAAAATCCAATATAGTCACAACAGTTTGAACTAGACTACTACAGATTTCATCTGATTCCAAAATGGATATGTAATCTACTGTCTAAACATAGAATATCTGCTTTAAATACGAATTTTATTTTTCAATTTTAATAACAGAACTAGATGTTTCACATAGCCAAACACAATAAATCTCCCTGAGCATTATGTCTCTGGATCACAACTTAGACTGAAATTCGCTACTTTTTTTTTTTTGAGTTGGAGTGTCACCTGGTCACCCAGACTGGAGTGCAGTGGCGGCTCCCGGCCACCGCAGCCTTGACCTGCTGGGCTCCGGCAATCTTTCCGCCTCAGCCTTCCCAGTAGCCAGAATTACAGATGTGCACTACCACACCTGGCTGATTTTTTAAAAAATTTTATTGTCGAGATGAGGTCTCGCTGCCCAGGCGGGTCTCGAACCCGCGGGCTCAGGCAGTCCACTCACCTCAGCCTCCCAAAGGTGCGGGATGGCAGGCTGAGCCACCGAGCCCGGCTGAAATTCGTTTCTATAACCGATATTTCCCAAGTGCCGGCTATTCACTGGGCACCACGCTCAGTGACAGGAGAGGGCAGGCACCAAACACGCCAAAATACCCGCTTGTATCCCTGCCACACGTCTGAGTCGGAAGACAGACAAATTTAAAAATTCTGCAGTATGCTGGCTGTCAGTAAATGCTACTAAAAAAGTAAAGCGATCATGGCGACGAGCGAGTGCGGCATGATAGCAAACAGGTGCCTTGGGAGGAAAGTCCCAAGAGAAATCAAGCAAGCGCAAAGGCCCCCTTGTGGCAGCAAAGAGGCCTGTGGGATGGAGTGCGGTAGACAGGGCAAAGCAAAGCTGAAGTGTAGGAAGAGATGTACCAGGAGGCCAGATTTTTAGGCTTTGAAGGCCACGGTAGGAACACTGACTTTTTCTCCAACTGGTATATGGGAGTTCCTGGAGTACTTTTCAGTTTTGTTAACCTTCCCTATGACAAGTTATACTATGGTAAAGAATGCACAAAAATGAAAAGCACATCTAAACGTTCTATCACAAAGCAAACACTTGTGGAACCACCTCTCCAGCCAAGAACAATCAGCACCCCAAAGTCTCCCAACAGTGCCCTTCCCAACTGCTGCATCTCCATACCCCTACCACAGAAGTCACCAATATCCATATGTACTTGGTAATCGCTTCCTTCTTTTCCTTTAAACACATATCCATCTGTACTCTGATTTAGAATTTCTTATGTTTTTATTTTCCCTTTAACTTTATATAAAATGGAATCACAACATGTATTTTTTTTGTGTCTACCTGCTTTCTTTTCTTTTTTTTTTTTTTTTTTTTGAGTTGGAGTCTCACACTGTCAACCAGACTGGAGTGCAATGGCCGCTTCCGGCCACTGCAGCCTCGACCTGCTGGGCTCCGGCGATCCTCCCTCCTCAGCCTTCCGAGTAGCCGGAATTATAGGCATGTGCTACCACGCCCGGCTAATTTTTTGATTTATTGTAGAGATGAGGTCTCGCTGCCCAGGCGGGTCTCGATACCTGCTTTCATTCAACATGTTTGTGAGATCTGTGTTGCTGCATGTAGCCTAATTTGTTAATGCTCATTGTACTCTCTAATTCTGGGCTTAGCTCACTGGGTCTCTTGCTTTCATGAGCCTGATAATTCTTTCCTGTCTTGTTACTTTACCAAAGACTTTGAGCATCTTAAACAATTTTTCTTCTTCTAGCTTTTTAGTCCTCAAGGTTTAGTCCTCATAATCTAGTCCTAATAACAGTTCTGAGCAGAAAACTGGCTTAATCTAACACTGTTACACATCTGTTAAATGCCATGTAGTTAATTCCCAATTACTGATAATACAAGTGTTATTTTCTTGTAATTCATATTTCTATTTATAACTTATTCAATAATGTCCATTTGCTTTCATTATTTTTCAAATCCTTAATGTATTGGAAAAATCTATTTAATCACATACTAATAAATGCTGAGAATATATGCTGTACTAACTCTAAAGTACTCAGAAAGAGTCCACTGCTTTCCAGCCCTAATATGTTGTTTGCATGTAAACATTTAAGTCCCAAACACAAATCCAGTTACGTAAGCACCCTGTAGAAAAAAAAGAGATTTTTCTCATTTCTCAAAAGTTTTTATTCTTAACAACTGACATAAATTTACAAATGTATTATTTAGTACTTTACTATCTGAATAAAGTTGATAATAGAAAATATTTGCTAATATTAAAGCTGACACCAAGTAGAATGACAACAAATGTCCTTAAATACTAAAAGAGAACAGACTGAATATGAATATATACTTCTCTGACTTCTAAAAACCTCAACTTTTATAACAGAAAAAATTTTTCTAAATCATAAAATGGCAAAGACAAAGGATGGGAGAGGGGGCAGCATGCAGACATTTTAGAAGCTGAAAAGCATGTGGGCGAGTGGAATCCTTAACGGGCAGTAAAGGATGCTGAGAAACATCTAAATAGACATCGCACAAAAGGCTTGGGAATCCAGGTACCTTTGAAAGACTGGAATAAAAGTAGCAGGATTGGCTCAAGACCTATTTAAGCAGCAGCCAGGTCCTCCCAGAGCAATTCTGCAATGCCGAGCAGCCAAGAAATACCCCACCTCCACTCTGGCAGAAAACTGGACATTTTTCTTTAGAGAAAAGCAAGCAAACAAAACCCCCCCAGAGGTCTATGGACCACACTGAAAACAAGGATAGAAAGTAAATGTTCTCTTCTGCAACTCAAATTCCAGAATACTAGAGCAGCCAGGTATACATCTTCAGGAAGAACTGTAGACTCTTTTCCAAGAACACTGGAGACAGAGAGGGAAGAGGAGGGGAACAGACGGATGGAGGGGAAGGAAGGCAATAACTCTAAAGGTAGGAAGTCCCTCAAGGAAATGGCTTGGTCAGCTCAGGCTATGGTAAAGATTGGCCAGGTGTGGTGGCTCACACCTGTAACTCCAGTACTTTGGGAGGCCAAGGTGGAGGAACTGCTGAAGCCCAGGAGTTCAAGATCAGACTAGGCAACATGGTGAGACCTCATCTCTACAAAAAAAAAAAAAACTGTAGCTGGGAGTGGTAGTATGAGCCTGTAGTCCCAGTTACTTGGGAGGCTGAGGGGGAAGGGTCACCTGAGCTCAGAAGGTTGAGGCTGCGGTGAGTAGCGATAATGTCACTGCATTCCTGCCTGGGTGACTCAAAAAAAAAAAAAAAAAAATCACAGTCAATCCAAACTCACAGAGTTTTCAAGGAGCTCAATTCCATATTGGAGCTCTGGCACAGCCGCCAATGCACACAGTAATCAACGCTCACAAGCTATCAGAGGATCTCATACAAATAAAAGAGTGAAGGGAATCCTCAAGCTGATGGTGCAAGCCAAAAAACAATAGTTGTGTCAAGGAATATTTAGGAAGCAACTGGTCCAGCTTGGAGCAGGCCAGAGGGCTCCAAGAGAAACGTCTTCAAGAAGACGAAACGAATAGAAGAGCTAATGTGTTTGGAAAAATTGAGAGGATACTGGCACAACTGGCAGGCAGTTTGGGGTTGAAGAAGTGGTAAGTACATAAAAACTGAGCAATGCCAAAAACAATGATTAATTCCAGCTGGAAGAAAAATCTGCTGGAAAGGAAAAAATAATCATAACATACTACATGGCTCAGGTACTAATAGGGCTTACATATCCGTAAAAATATAAACAATGAAAAGCAATAAAAGCCACAACAACCATATTGGAAAGAGGAAAGTAAATGGTCATTTTCCATGTAGAAGTCAATAAACACAGCCTGTAAATTAAAGGAAATACTCACAGTGGTGGAGATAAATTTCAAAATAACCAGTAAAGGAATAAAAAGCAACTGCCTTTAGGAATGGCAAATCAGACATGAGGACAGTGGGGAGGAACGCAGGAACCCTAATTTTTCTTCCACGTGTCTAGCAGAATTTATTCTACTTACACAAGTTACATAGTTTGATTTAAAAAAATTAACAACCCCCCAAATCTAATATGAATAAAGACAATAGAGAGGGATTTGATAACAAAGAATAAAATCAATAAATGTAAAATATAAAAAACCTTCAGAGAAAATAAGCCATACCTCTGCAGTAAATCTACTTGACACCGGTGTAATAAATCCAACTTTACCGTCATTAAACACAACAGCAAACCCATCAAGTGTGGCGCAGTATTCCATGTCTTTAATGTGTACATTTGTAAAGCCCAGGAATGAACCTACTGAAGAAAAAATGAGTATATGAAACAGAATAATGAATATAGCAAATTATTCTCTTACTTTTTGCTTGCAAACCCTGTAAGGTTAAAGGACAGAAGTAACGATCTAATGATTGTAAACAACGAAACTATCCTTTCCTACTGAATGATTCCCTCTCTCGCACTCTCCCCCAGCCCCCTTGCATAAGTAAAGCCAAAGAAGAAAAGTCAACTTTTACGCATAAAAATATCTAGGCAGCTTAGAAATATTAAGCTGGTTCTACTTCATGTAGAAAGCACAGCTACCTCTGGAAGACTGCAGGTCTACTGAAAACGGCACTGTACAAAGGTCGATGGCTTTCCTTCCATTTGTCGTTCCGTCCCAGTGGATAAGATGAAGAAGTCCATCAGAAGTAGCAACCAGGAGATCGTCCAGCACCGACTGCAAACTGTAGTAGAATCAATTCATTGTTTAGAGACATACTGAGAAAGCAATGAGTATGAACATAGTTGCTTTGGAGAGCACTCGTGCAAAAAAGATCATGAAATCATTTATAAAACATCTCTATCCACAATTTATTTATTATTTTTAAAATTTTTATTTTTAAGATGTGGGGTACAATTCAGGGTTAGGGATACAAATGGTCATTGGAGAGGTAAAGTTTGGGCCTCACTTTGGTCCCCACGTCACCTGGTTTGAGATCAGGCACCATTCTTGATGAAGTGTGCCCCCTGCTCCCTCTCCTCTATCTACAATTAAGCTATGCAGCAAATTTTTTTTTTTTTTTTGAGTTGGAGTCTCACTCTGTCGCCCAGACTGGAGCGCAGTGGCCGCTCCCGGCCACCGCAGCCTCGACCTGCTGGGCTCCAGCGATCCTTCCGCCTCAGCCTTCCAAGTAGCTGGAATTATAGGCATGCGTTACCACGCCCGGCTGATTTTTTGATTTATTGTAGAGATGAGGTCTTGCTGCCCAGGTGGGTCTCGAACCCGCGGGCTCAGGCAATCCACTCACCTCAGCCTCCCAAAGGTGTGGGATTACAGGCTGAGCCACCGAGCCCGGCACAGCAAATTTATCTATGTGTAATTCAATTTAGAATTTAAAAATTTGGAAGAAATGAAAGTGTATGGACAGCCAGAGTCACAAATTTGATGAACTGGGTTAAAAACTAAAAATACTGAAACAGTAAATTAGAAGATGAAAGCATAAGTGATAGCTGACAAGGAAAAAAAAGGCAGAGAAACTTCACAATGAACAGCTATAACTGATAACAGAATGACAATCTAAAGCCAAGGAGTGTAGAGGTAACAATCCTTGGGTACTGTTCAATAAAACTTCCAACAATGATAGAAACGTTCTGTACCTGTATGATCTGAAAACGGCAGCCACTAGCCACCCGTGGCGACGGCACACCTGAAATACTGCTAGTGAACACAAAAACTTACTTTTGATTTACTTTTAATTTAAATTTAAGTATCTTCATGTAACTAGTGGCTATTGTAGAGGAGAGCATAGCTCTAGAGCAATATATTTCTTGGGTCTCAGTGTGCCTCACATTCATTCGCTCAGCTGAAATCAGTTGAGCCCATGCTGTGACAGGTGTTACACTCCTTGCTGGATACTCAAGGGTGAATACAATATAATCTGCCTCTTTAGAAGACTTCTCGTTCAAGAACTGAAAACTATTTATACAGCGCGTGACCTCAACACTCACCTATATCTGCAAAGACATTTAGCAGTTACTCCATGGGCCGGTGGGGGAGCTGTTTTGCTCATCTCTGCATGTCCAACCCCTAAAGCAGTGTTAGTTACAGATGGCACCATATGTTTTGTGGAAAGAAGAAAGAAAGGGACAGAGGTAAAAAGAACCCAAAAATGAGGCCACAAAAATACTGGCAAAGAGAAGAAAAAGAAACCCACGTAAACCTCTACTAACGGATATCTGGAAAGCTTCCAGGGTATAAGATGAAATTGAAAAGAGTGGTCAAGAATATTAAATGCTATAAAAAATTCAAAGACCATACAGAAAGGAATGAAAAATGTTATGTGTATGCAATATATACTCCATAATATGTTATTAAATTTCCTGTCATACTTAAGAAGGAAAGAGTGGGCCAGGTGTGGATGTTCAAGCCTGTAATCCCAGCACTTTGGGAGGCTGAGGTGAGAGGATTGTCTGAGTCCATGGGTTCAAGACCAGCCCGGGCAACTTGGTGAGACCTCATCTCCACAACAAACCAAAAAAATAGCCAGGTGTGGTACTGCGTGCCTGTAGCTCCAGCTCTTGGAAGGCCAAGGTGGAAAGATCACCTGAGCCCACCAGGTCGACACTGGGGTAGCTGCAAGCTTGCCACTGCACTCCAGCCTGGGGCAACTCCAGCTCAAAAAAGAAGTTCATAGGCCACGCTTAGTGGCTCAGCCTGTAATCCCAGCACTTTGGGAGGCCGAGACAAGTGGATTACCTGAGCCCGTGGGTTTGAGATCAGCCTGGGCAATCTGGCGAGACCTCATCTCTACAATGAAAAATAGCCAGGCATGGTAGCGAGCATCTGTACTTCCAGCTATCTGGAAGTCTGAGGCGGCTGGAGCCCAGAAGGTCAGCGCTGGGGTGGCCATGAACATGTATGCCACTGCATTCCAGCCTGGGTGAAAGAGTGAGACTCCAACTCAAAAAAAAAAAAAAAAAAAAAAAAGGAATTCACAATAGCAAGAACATGGAACCAACCATGCTGCCCATCAAAAGAGAACTAGATTAAAAAAAAAAGATGTGGTACATATACACAGTGGACTATTACTCAGCCATAAAGAACAAAATCATGAACTTCACAGCAACCTGGATGGACTGAGAGTCTACAATACTGAGCAATCTTTCACAGAAACAAAGAACCTAGTATCACATGTTCTCATTCATAAGTGGACCTTGAACAACTATTGCAATACTATAAGGAAAGGATTGGCAGGAGTGGGAAACTGTGGGGTGGGGGGG